AAGATGCCCAAAACAAAAATTATGCACCTTCTTCAAGGAAAAGTTCAAGAAGAAATGCTATTACTACCACTAATAAAGGCATATGTAGATCCAAAAAAATTCTTTTTTATACTGGTAGAGGAAGAAATACTAGTACTTTTGGTTTAAAAGAAAGAGCTATAGCTAATGTTGGTACAAAAAAAAAGGAATAATAACAATATTAGTTAGAGAGGAAGAGGTATTACGAATGTTGGTATAAAAGTTTTAGTTATTACTACAACTTCAGAGTTTGGCACAAGTTCAATGGAAATAGTTGCTAGATATTTTACTAGAGGAACTTTTAGGCAAAAAGTTACAACAATAAGAGGAAAGGGGGAGGATTATTATTGGTGCTAGCCATGCATCTAGTAGACAATTAGCTGCCAAGCACACTACTAGCACAAATCAAGAAAGTAGTAATCAAAGAGTTGACAGCCAAACAACTAGTAGCTAAGAAGTTTGGATGCAATTTGGAAACATTTCCTAAATGCTATTTTGATGATGTATGTCGATTATCATAATGTTTAAATTCGAAAACCTACTTATTAGAGATAAAAATCATGGAGTCGCTATCAATCTTTTTTTACTTAAGTGTGATTGACCATTTATATGAATTTATCTTTTTTAAGGCTATCCTAAGCCTAAACGAATGATCTTTAAAAAGAATAGGTTCTAGTCTACTTATTAGAGATAAAAATCATGGAGTCGCTACCAATCTTTTTTTACTTAAGTGTGATTGGCCACTTATATAAATCTGTCCTTTTTAAGGTTATCCTAAACCTAAACGAATTATCTTTAAAAAGAATAGGTTCTAGTCTGCATCAACTAAACTAAAATTCGGGAGTTAATTATGTGGATGGGAGGTAAAAGCACCCTATTACACCCAAATTTGATGTCAAATTAATTATGTATTATCTTACCTAAGTTTCAATCAAAGATGGTTTTTTTATCATGCAAACAAATCAATTCCAATACTTTTTCTTTATTTACACAACATTTTCATACAAAAATTCTATGAAGAATCAAATCATGCAATCATGTAAGAAATATAAAATCATACAACAATCATACCAAAATATCAAAAATAAACATGCAAATGTATCATGCAAATATATTAAAAATCAAGCAAATAATCAATAATCATGCAAATATAGTATTAATCTTGCAATTAATAAATAATCATGTAAATATATTATTAATCATGCAATTAATAAATAATCATGCAAATATATAATTAATCATGCAATTAATAAATCATGTAATTATATTAATAATCATATAACTAATAAATCACACAATAAATAAATCACACAAATAAAATATTAGGTAATCATGCAAATAATCAAACTAATGCAAAAAAAAAAATACAATATCCATGCAAAAAAATGTAATTAAATTAAATTCATACAAAAATAAATAACGTAAATAAATATTATAAAAGAAAACACTGCAAAAATATCATTTAAAAAAAAGAAATTAAAAAACCTGGTTAAATGGGTCGGGTACTCCTCGGGCTTGCTCGCAGGTCATAGCCAAAACGGGTCAAAATTTTAATTCTCTTTGCTACTCCAACGCTGCCGTTTGGAGTTAACCATAAAATCAGAAATTTCCTCCGTTTTCTACTCCTTAGTTTCTCTCACTTTATTTTTGGTTCTTCCCTCTTCTCTCTAAAAGTCACCAGACAATCCAAAATTCGGCAAGCCGCTCCAATTAGCGTCGGCGTTCACCGGTGAGCAAAAAGCTGGGCAAAACGCTTTTGCCAAATCTCCCCAAACAAAACCCAAACCCATAAACGAGCTATTCCCAGAAGCTAGCGTCTTCCACCACCACCGTGCCTCCACCCTTTTGTTGCTTTCCCCTGCCTATTCCCAAAAAATCCTAAAAGCTCTTTTCACTGAAACCCAAAAACACCAATTCAATCCCCAGAATCAACCCCTTTTGCTTCCTCTGCTTTGCAAAAGAAATTTTCCTTTTCCTTTTTCTGTCAAACACTGATTTGACGAACCCAACTTCCACCAAGTCAAGAAATCTGAAGTTCCTTTTTTATTCTTTGCCTTCCGATCTGTGTTGAGTTTTGATTATGATGATTTTATCTTATCATTTATCCTTGTGTATGATTGTGTCGATTTCTCTTTGTGTGCCTTATGTACGGGGTTCAGGTGATTGGTTATGGGTTTAGTGGGTTTCAATGCTTTCAGCCATGCTGATTGTTTCTTCTAGTTCTTCCTGGGTTGAATTTAAATTCTGGTTTTGAATTGCTTGTGATTCTAGTTTTGAAAATTGTGGGGCTTTCTGCCTTGAAGCTTTTTGCCTGTGCTTCAATTTCCTTATCGGTCTTCACCGGGTCTCGGCTTCTGTTGATTCAAAACTCCTCCCGAAATTGCCTCCCTACTGATGATTTCTTCTGGAAATTTGTTGCTGGCCTAATGTATTTTTTGGAAATTTGTTACTGCTTACTTCTGCCTCGATCATTAATCGCTTCTGATTGCTTTTTGTGTGCTGGAGACTTGCTTCTTTGACATTTTGTTCTTGCTTGATTGATGGACTTGCAGACTTGTTTCGGGTGTGGAAAGGAGTATTGGTCTCAATTACTTATGTTGGCTTGCTGTGATGGAGACTTGGGACCGCTTGGTGCCTAAATTTGCTTGAATGTTTACCTTCTGCTTGGTAGGTCTGTTTCGACTGCTAGAAATTGCTTAGACTCGTTTGACCGATTCTTTGCTGCAATTGTTTAGCTACTAGAAATTGCTTTTGGAGACTGAGATCATATTGCTTATAGCCTGAAGAAATTGAGCCTATTGCTTACTGTTGATGTCTTGTTAATTGCTCGATTGCTTGAATGTCTCCGTGACTGCTTTTTCAATTACTGCTGGATTACTTCTTAGTTGATATTTCATTAATATTTTTGGGAGCATAAACATAATAGAAAATTTATATTTATATTTTAATTGTTTTATCTTTTATAGTTACCAAATCAATATCTAAAAGTTCCAATCGCCATCAAACTTTTATTTGATCATATAAATATATAAAGTTAATCCATTCAAAACGATTAGATAATAATCGAAAACACTTGAAGGATAATTAAAAAAATAACAAAAAAAATCAGCCAAATTTATTAGCAATATGACATTAAATAATATGAAAATAAACAACCCTAAAAATGAAAAATAATGTAAAGTTGAAAAGCAATAATCATTTCTCAAGCAGGAAATGCTCAGTCCCTCCAAACTAGGGAATGCAACCTACTTGTAATGTGAAAACAAGAACAATTAGTTCCGAAAATAAAGGTAAATTAAAATAGGAATGCAAGTAGAGCAAAGAACTTTATAACTATAAATCTACCTTTTCATCAAAGAGTGTGGAGAGAAATGTTGGTCCTCCTCCATTGTAGATTTATATATGAATCCCTGCAACTGAGGAGATTGCTCTATCTCCAGAAACTTCAAGGATGGGAATTCAATAATATAATTTTCTGAACAAAACCCAATGAGATGTTGAAGATTCCTCATCTTTGGAGAGTTTAATTGAGGAAATGAAATCATAGCTTTGCCTTCTTCTTCTAAATCCTTTGTGAATAACACCTCTCTTAAGCATTTGCATTCAACTATCTCAAAGCATTTAAGATGCACTAGGCTTCTAGACATGGAAGATGATAATAGATGTTTTAAGTTGTCACAAGCCTCGATAATCAAACTTGTTAGATTTTGAGTGTAGTACACAGATATATTTGAAAGCCGATTGTGGCATATCCTTTCAACATTGATTGAAGACAAATGAAGGTTCTCCAAGCAAGGGAACACTGACTACATTCATGAAATTATACTAAATTAATAGAGAAATTAGAAAATTAAAATGTAACATAAGAAAAAGGCTAGTTTTTTAGTATAAAATGCTATGACAAAAATTATGAAATGGTGTTTGCCAATGCATCGGTATGCAGTGCATTTGAACAGAAATCACTTCCCAGCCTCAAGAGAAACTAATTTCGTGTTATCAATTTTTTATTCGAAAATCTAAATGGCTATTCTAATAAATTTTAGATCAGAATCAGATTAATGATGGTCACTAACTTATGTTAATAAATTTATTAAAAAAATTTTGAATAGAAATAATATGTTAAAGCATCCACATTCAGGTCATGGCCTTATTGTCAATCCAAAAAGGATTGCATTTATGAGCATATATAGTTTTAGGGGAAGTTGGAATTGAGACCAACATGATATGCATCTGAATGAACATATAAACAAAAATATTTATATTTGATACACTATAAGAATATATATTTCTATACACTATCAATGAATGAAAGGTCTTTTGAATGTCAATGTTATGGTAAAATTTGTGTCAAGATAAAGATTTATTTGATATTAACTTAAATTATATTTGAGAATCAGTTTAAATTACAGTAAAATTTTATTAGTTAAAACTTACATGATAATTAAGAATAAATATTCTTAATGGATAAAAGTTATTAGTAAATAATAATTTTTAGTGATCAAATAATAAAGCTTTATAAATATGGAATGAGTATTAAATTTTATAATTTCACTGAAATTCAAATTGATTTCCAATTAAAATTTGAGTCAGTATTTAACAAACATTTCCTATCAATGGAGGCAGCTGGATAAAGTACTTAGATGGTTGGGTTACACAGAAAGTCAAGCAGGTGCTCAAATTAGATGGGCTGCAGTGAATACTATTTAATTCTTGCACCATCATAATGAAACTGGATCAACACTGGCAGAGGTAATGGCAATGGGGAATCTAAATGCTGTTCTTACAATTAAAATAAGATGTATCGTTAATGCTTTTACTTGAACAACAACTCTTCAGCCAGTGAAGAAGCTGTACGGTGGACTCTGCTCCATAATGCAACTCTGGAGATTTAAACCTGATCATCCATCTTGAATTTCTGGCTAACAACATGATGACCGGAGGTGGTAGCCGAGTGAATGAATAGCTATTAACAGTTGGCAATCTTAGCCAAATTTTGTTTTGGTCTGCAAAAATGATGCTCTTGTCGAAACCGGACAAACGACCTCAAAGAAATTGTGAAAGAATCCGTTGTCATACACATTATTCTTTACAACACCTTCGGTATCCTCTAGAGGGGACCTTCTGAAGAAGGATTTACATTTGGTCTCCGAAGGCTTTCCATCACTGCTCATCCTGGTGATGCTTGCTTTCAAAGCTGCAACACTTGCTCTTGCTTCACTCCATTTCTTCTGCCAGCTTAAGTAGTCTTGCCACTTGAAGGTCTGTATTTTCAGACAGATGAGAATATATGATTCTAGTTTCATGGTTTCAACTACAACTCAATTTGCGCAGCCAACTATTTCATGGTTTATGTTCGGTCAAGGCTGGGTTGGCAAATTCAGGCAACAAACCAATGGACAAGGTTTAAACGGCTCTCACCTCATTCATTGCGGTCTTTGTGAGACAACGATTAGCATGATACCCAAAGAAACTTGCCAATAAGAGAGAAACTATAGCCATGAACACCATAAGTGGTATCTGGGCGTTATATGAACCCAACAGCAACTGCCACAAACCAAAAGACAATTTATTGAACTCAAAATATCTACTGCAAGATCCAAAACATAAAGCAGAAAACATTCAAAATAATGAAGGCACTATAGGAAGTTGATCTTCCTATAGTTTTTTCAAAACAAAAATTGTAGTCTCACATCAAGCAATAACCCTTGGCAATAATTCAGATTACAGAATATATATGAAACTCACCTGTACAATATGAGGAGCTAAACTGCCAAAAGAATCATCTACGCCATAATAAACTGAAAAACAAAGAAAATGGCACGGAACATTTAGTATATATGTAGAGCATTAAGAAACTAGAAAATCTTAGTACAAATCGATCCACCCGTTAAAATATATACTACTTTCAATTCTTTCAATCGTCCAGTAAGGGATCAATCCAAGAGCAATTGTCCCGTACATGTAAAGAAGGATATGACTGCAGAATGCTAAATATGATCTTCAGTCTTCTTCAGAATTGTGGGTTTGAAGTAATAACTAGGATTGACTAAATGAAGGAGAAAACAAGAATTGTTGAAACAACTAATTACAAATATCATACAGAAATCCACATTGTCAAAGGCTGAACCAGTAAAGCATTAACAGAGGAAATAATAACTTAGAATTTGAAGTCTATGGCAGCCATCTATTGACAGTAGCCATGACAGGAACACATGAAAGATTAATATCATGTGATGGAATTTACGGTTAAATAAATGCAAGGTGTCTCCAAATACATAGTCGTAAAAGAGATCTTTTAGAAGATCAACAGCCAAACTACTGTTAAGGTACCTAGAAATCAATACAAAAAATCCAAATCAATCGACAATAGCAAAAATTTAAAAACAAACATTGGTGGGTAGTGAGATAGGAATATGGCAGCTTTGACAAGGTTGGTGGTAGAGCATAGGAGTGCTCCATTAATCCTGAAACAAAGAAGCACCCCACCAACTATACAGAAATTGTGACAATATGAGAAGACAAACGAAATTTTGCAAAAAAATACCTTTAATTCTCAAAAGAACATGAGGCGAAGCACTTCTCTCAAAATCATAGAAAATATTGTTTTTATTCAGCTTGAAAATGTGTCAGACAACCTTCCTCTGCTATAGAATTCTGGACATTCTGTAAACATAACATCATGATAAAAGTGAAAGCAAACACTGTTAAAAGAACCACATATTTTCAGAGAATTCTATAAACAAGGTGACATATACAACCATTATATTTTGAATATGCAACTACATAAAATATTTAAAATATCAGATTAATACTCATTGCATGGCTATAATCTTCCATTCTGTAAAAATGTTACTATGAATTGTAAACTTTTATGAATGGGCATCAAATCTTCATTTCAATAATAATAATCTTTATTTCCAGAGAAAGAATGCAGGTGTGTCTACTCCATCCTATATATGTAGTTTTGTTGTCTGCTAAAAAACAGTTATCCATCAACTAAATCCATGAATTCTTCTCCGAAAGATTAAATTTAACTAGTCTGCAATTACCTCTAAGAACATAGAGAAGCAATCATAATTAATTCAGCAAATTGCAAGTATTTAGAACGTTAGCTTTAACAGAGTGTAGAAGCAAAAAAATAAAAAATTCTTAAATTTTGAAAAAAAAAGTATCTGAATAAACATATACCATTGCTCTGAAAATTTGTTCCATTGTGGTGTTTTAGATTGCCATCCCAACGCTCTTTATCTTCAGCAAATTGCACTTTCAGCAAACTTGGATAAGGTAACTCTCCTCTGCAGAAAATTTTCATTTTTGGACAGTTTCTCTCAATAACCTCTTCCAAGGAATGGAATCCAAGGGCATAATTACAATATTCTACTCTGCAAAGCAATTGCATTTGGTGCACCTCTTCAATGGAGGTGAAAGCTATTCAAGGTATCGCCCTGGTTATAAGTTGTCATGGAATGCCATAGCCGCTATGTTTAAACAAGGTAGCTAAGTGCTCTTTGACTGGCTTAAACTCCTGACAGGTGATTCAGGGTAGATCCCAACATATGTATGCATCAAAATTCATTTCTGAACCTATAAAATTTGGTAAATGGTTAACAACGAAGTGTGTATGAAAAACCAAATGAAGGTTATGGAAGTAAAAGACTTACTCACCATCTGCTTTCTCACTTCAACTGAAGGAACATGATTGAGCCTCAAGTGTCTCACAAATTTAAATGAAAAAAAGTATTCAAGTCTTTTACAATCAAACACCTACAGAAGATTTAGTGATTTGCAAAATGAATCCTCACGGAGTTGGTTGACTCGTTATGCCATAACTTTCTCCAGTTTCCCGCACCTATGATGCTCAATTCCTTTAAGCAAGGGAATGCCACCTATGAAATTTGTTTGCTTGTGTCAATAATTGCATAGAATTTAAGGTAAGATTAATGGAGAGGGAGTAATGATACAGAGAAAACAAAGTAATAGAGTATCACTATCACCTTTTCATTGAAAAGAGTTGGACAGGCAATCTCTGAGTTGTTTCCTTCCGCATCAGAGACGAACGTATCTAATGTAAGACAACTCTCTATCCTAACAATTCTCAACAAAGGGAATTCAAGGTAACTTCCGTGGCAGAATCTCGTCAGTTTGGGAAGGTATTTGAGCAATAGGAATTCTAGTTTACGGAACAACTTTTGGCTCATCAGTTCTTCTTTGGCTAATTCCTCTATCAAGATTACTTTTTCTACATTCTCACAATTCTCAATGTTAAGAATCTTGAGTTGCACAAAACTTTCCATCATTGAGGACGAAAATAGACAGTTTAAATTGTGACACCCCTCGATAGTCAAGCATGTTAAATATTGAGCACAAGAAGCGGCTGTTGCCAGAAATTTTTTATGCCGGATTCTCTGAATGTTGATTGAGGACCGTTCCAAATCCTCCAAGCTTGGAAAAACCTGCACACAGTATATATATTCCTTAATGCATGAAAAACTTTCCACTCTTTAGCTGATTAAAAAAAAAAAAAAAGAACACGTGAATGACCGTACTAGAGAAGCATGCACATGATAAGAACTTGTCTGCTGCTTTTGTTTTTCATTTTCTCAATCACCAAATAAGAACAAAAGGTTTTAACTAGAAAATTTTAACTTAATCAAAACTCTATAATGTGATCAGTTGCATTGGCAGACATATCAAACTGTCTGTATTTGTGCCTTACTTGCTGATATGTCTGCATAAATGTCTGGTGTAAATCTTGCTGCATTTGAATCAATGAATTTTTTAAGGGGACCAAAAAGCAGAAAAATCTATTGTTACAACATTCTTACAAGTCATATAACCATTAACAGAATGTACAATATGGAAAGTTAGAAAGCCAACAATCGGGCAATGTCGCAATTCAAGTGGAATATGATCATGCACATAAAACAATGTAACAATGTTAAGGAAATCATTAGAATTGATGCATACCTTCTCTGTAAACAACTGTTGAACAATGGCATTGAGGTTGCCTTCCCAATGCCCGAGATATTCACCTTCAGCTGATTGTATTCCCTGCAGCATTGGTGTGCTCAACCCTCCCGTAGTGAAAATTTCCATCTTTGGACACTGTCTCATTATTAACTCTTCCAAGGAAGGGAATCCAAAGGCATAATTCCCTGAGCAGAAGCTTGATAGGCTCGGAAGACAACCAAGTTCCAAAGTCTTCAGTTGGGAGAACACGATGCCATCCATCAAATCATCACTTCCACGAGCTATGATTTCTTCTATCATTTGGCAATCAGTAATACTCATTTCTGTGAGCACCACCATGCTTTTTGCCGTTGAGAGTGTTAATAAATTCTTAAGCCCGTGACAATTCGACACTTGCAGATATGTCAAATTTTTAAAGTACATAGAGGATGGCACTAAATTCTTCAATTTGTCACATTTCGACACTTCTAGAGTTTCCAGGTTACTGAAAACCTCTCCAACTTGGTATTCTTCCTCCCAGAGATGTGTCAACTTGGTATTTGCTTCCAAAACTAACCTTTTGACATTGGGGAATGTATCCTAAGAATTGAAAATAAGAAATAGGTTAAACAAAAACAAAGATTTTGAATCGGTAAATTTCATCCATGGTTTCTAATTTTTAGTTTAATTTTAATCCCACCCCTAACTTTTGAATTATTCTATTTAGATTCCTAACCTTTTAAATTTTCATTTTGATTATATTTTACATTTTTCACTAACAAATGGGAAAAAAGATAAGATCACATGATATGCAAAAGTAATGTCCACATGGCATGTTACATAATAAAAGCTTTTTTTGGCTTAGACGCATGATGGCGAAAGTGGAATCAAAATAAAAATTTAAACATCATGGATGAAATTTATTATGCATGTGAAATATTTTACTTGCAATCCTAATGATTAACTTTTTAAACATTTTAGACGATCTAAATCCTTTGTTATTTGTACAAAAAGACTTTAATCCATAATTTAGCATTGAAAATTCAACAATCGATAGAAAATGTTATTGAATTTTCAATAATTGATTATGGATTCATATTACTATAGAATACATCACTTAGAATTATATTAATTCATATAAATATTATAAATTTAATATTAAAAATTTTATTTAATATTTATATAATTATTATTTTCTAATATTACTTTAATTAGTATTTTCTAATTTTATTATTTATTAATATATTTAATTTTAATATTATTTAAAGGACATTAAATTCTAATATGATTAAATAGTAATATTCAATATTACTATCAAATAGTATCAAATAATATTATGCAAATAATATAATTTTATTTAATAAATACAATTTTATTTAATAAATACAATATTATTTTTAATTAATTCTTAAATTTTTATTTTGTGTATTGAAACAATTTAAGTATTTTCTTTTCATATATAACAAAATTACTTACCAAACATGTTCTATGTGTTCAAGACAAAATTTAAAAAAATAAAAACTAAAAATACGAAATTATACCCAACAAACCTTAAGTGCTTACATTCTATATAGATATTAGGGGTTCATACCTTAGTGACCCAAAACAAGGGTTGTTGAGAAGGTATAATTTCCAATTGACTCTCTCCAAATGTTTCTGGAAAGTTCTGATGCTGCCTAGCTAATATCTCCACATTGTCGCATCCTCTCACCTCCAATTGTTTTAAGGATGGCCATCTTGTAGTATGCAACCTAGAGTAGAAATTCTTCAATTTGGGTAGCCAATGAAGTAACAAGTTTCTTATTTTAGGAAATATAAACATAGTGGTTGATTCAGTGGAATTTAGTCCATGATCGAGTCCAATTACTTCTACCAAAGATTCACACTTCGCTATTTCAAGATATTCAAGTTTGTTCAATCTTTTCATCATATGAAATGGGAAAATATTCAGAAGACTTTCACAATATTTTACTTGGAGAAAAGTTGGTTCATAAAATGAACCAAATGTGAGTTTGTCATCCCATATCGTTGTCCAATATCCACTGCCAACGATTACATACTCTCTTAAGTTAGGGAATATCACCTACAAAAAATTTATTTGATTGTATTAGTAAGGAGAAATAAATTATACTACTAGCTCAACAAGATACACAAAAGAAGAGTAAAAGTATCAATTTCAAATCCTAACAAAAATTTAAGAAAGATGAAATTAATGAAGAAAAGAAAAGCTAGCTACAAGCATAACCAAAGGATTCTAAGAGCATTAAAAACTACTAATTGAATTACAGAATAGGATGATTTAACTCATAATTGTAATAACAATAATAATAAAATAAAAAGTACTTAAAATGTATATACAAATTAACATAATTAAAGGTATTTCTCATCTATTACACTAGAAATTTGTTGCATTATTTTCGATAATTGATTTTTTTTATGGATTAACTTATCAAAGCCATAAATTTTTTTGCTCACTATCAAAACTCTAAATTAATATTAAAATTTCATATTTTTTAATTTGTTATTATCCTCTCGCATGAAAAAGGAGAAAAAAGAAAGACAAACACAAAGCTAGAGTGTGCTATATAATAGATAAACTACTTATAAATAAATTTAAATAGGTCATTGAATAATTTGTGCAGTTATCAGTTCATATTATTTAATAATATACATATTTTATGAATTATGTAAAATTGCCATTTCATTATATGGCTTTCTAATATTATGTTTTGCTTATTTTGTTAAATTAGTTTAAAGAAAGCACAATCAAATTATTTTGTTAAGCCATTTAAAATTTATTGGCTATTTTATTTATGTTATGAGACCTAAAATAAATTTAAATCAGTATTTTAAAATATATATTTATAAGTAATATCATTTATCAAATAAATATCATAATATTTCATTAATATTTTTGGGAGCATAAACATAAAAGAAATTTTAAATTCATATTTTAGTTGTTTTATTTTTTATAGTTACCAAATCAATATCTAAAAGTTCCAATCGCCATCAAACTTTTATTTGATCATATAAATATATAAAATTAATCCATTCAAAATGATTAGATAATAAGGGAAAACACTTGGAGGATAATTAAAAAAATGACCAAAAAAATCATCCAAATTTAATAGCAATATCATATTAAATAATATGAACATAATCAACCCTTAAAAAGAAAAATAATGTAAAGTTGAAAAGCAATAATCATTTTAATTGTAATTCAATTAGAGTATATCAAACAATCCATTTTGTCTCTTACATATTTAAACTTCTTAATGATTTAATAGAATAGAAACTAAATTTTACTAAAAATAATTTAATTTTGTACAAAATTTAAGATTTATAAGGAAATAAATAGGAAAAATAGTCAATTATTTAATTTCATATGAAAATTATTAATTAAAGATAAAGTTTATTTAAATAAAGTTTTCAATGCTAATAAATAACAAATAATAGGCAATATTAAAAAATCATTAATTAAAGATAAAATAGTTAATTTAATAAATAATAAGTTTTCACATTTTAAACTTTTGAAATTAATAGTTTTATAAATAAAATAACGATAAAAATAAAGATACCATCATGAAATAAGAGGCTAACATCGAAGAAAAAAATGACTTTGAACTTAGAAGGTGAGTTATATTTCTTTTGGTCAAATTTTATGATAATTTATTGAAAATTTTAAAAACATTGAAATTTTCAAAATAACAAAAATTTAAAATTTTGAATGATTTATTTTTTTTAATGCGTTTGATAATTCATTTAAAAAAACTTAATAAAAGATTTTAACAAAAAAGCCGAAGATCTTAAGTACTTTTTTACTACTTAATATATTAAGTTAATTTTTTTTAAAAAAAATTATTTAATTACAATACTCTTATAATATTTTTTAACAATTTATTCTTTCCTTTTCAAACTTTTTTTAATTGAAAATAACTATAAAACCATCTCTCTTTTATATAAAAGATTCAATAAAAAAGCCTCCGAAAGCACACCAATCATTTTTATATGATAATTCAATGCTTAAATCTTCAAAACTAAAAATTTAGTATTTAAATTTTTGGTCTTGAATTTGTTAAATCTAGCAAACATCATCTTAGAAGCATTTGCTATGTAAAGAACAATATGCACAGACAAAAACTAACCTTATCACTGAAAAATGGTGCAATACCAATAGTCTTTATATTCTGCTCTCTTGGAGATGAAGTTGCGAATGTAACCATCTTTGGACAATCTTTCACTACAAGTAGTGTCAAACATGGATATTCCACTGTATCATGCCCCAAATAAAAACTTCTTAAGTTTGAACATGACTCAAGAATTATGATTTTAAGGGAAGGGAACATGATTGTGTTTGTTGTTGCTTCCTCTGCTCCATCATTTGTAATAATTTGCTCCATCATCACACAACTTCTTACTTCCATCTGCTTCAATCGCGCAAGATTCACAGCCATGGAAGTCGTGAATATGTATTTCAAGCTATTACATCCATAAACTCTCAAAATTTGAAGATTTTTGAAATCTAAACTTTTTTGAAGATTATCCCTCCGTATCTCTATTGCCTTGGAAGAATCAGAAAGCACCGGGCACTCTATTCCTTCATGGTCAACCTACAAAATCCAATTTATGACACCAATTATACATATTCTATGAACTATGTAAAATAACCATTTCATTATATGGTTTTTTGATATTATGTTTTGCTTATTTTGTTAAATTATTTTAAATAAAGTACCTTAAAATCAATTTATTAAGCTATTTAAAATTTATTGGCTATTTTTATATGTTATAGGACCTAAAATAAATTTAAATCAGAATTATAACTTATTTATTATGTCATATCATTTAACAAATAAATATTAAACTATTATTTTGATCATATAAATATATAAAGTTAATCCATTCAAAACAACTAGATAATAAAAGAAAACACTTGAAGAATAATTAAAAAAATAAAATAGCAAACAACAATAAACTAAACTTTATATCTCGTATTATAGGGTCAGCTATATGAAAAACCAAAAATAAAATATAAAATATAAAATATAATGAGAAAAAAATCATCCAAATTTAATAGCAACTTGACATTAAATAATATGAAAATAACCAGCCTAAAAAGGAAAAATATGTATTGTCGAAAAGCAATAATCCTTTTATATCTAATCCTTTTATATCCATTTTGTGATATTTACATATTAATAATAAATCTCATATATATTTAACCTCCTTAATGATTCAATGAAATAAATATTAAATTTTACTAAAAATAGTTTAATTTAGTACAAAATTCAAGATTTATAAGGAAATAAATCGATAAAAATAGTCAATTATTTAATTTCATATAAAAATCATCAATTAACGATAAAACTTATTTAAATAAAGTTTTCAATGTTAATTAATAATAAGTATTAGCCAACATTAAGAAAACCATTACTTAAGGATAAAATAGTTTATTTAATAAATAGTAAGTTGTTCACTTTTTAAACTTTTGAAATTTATAATTTTATATACAAAATAATGATAAAAATAAAGATAAAGATGCCATCATGAATTAAAAAAAAACAAATATAGAAGAAAAAATGACTCTGAAATTAAAAGGTGTGTTATATTTTTAATTTCTTTGGGTCAAACTTTATGATAACTTATTGAAAATTTTCAAAATATTGTAAATTTTTAATTTTTAATATTTAATTTTTTCTATAGGTTTGATAATTCATTTCAAAAACAACTTAATAGAATATTTTAATAAAAAAGTGTTGAAAATCTTATATACTTTTTAACTACTTAATGTATTAAGTTAATTTCTTAAAAAAAATTATTTAATTACATTACTCTTATAAAATTTTCTTTTAAGAATTTATTTTTTCTTTTTTTTTTTTAACTTTTGTTAATTGAAAATACTTATAAAATCATATCTCTTTTATATAAAAGATTCAATAAAAAAGCTACTAATTTTTAATGGCACCAAAAATTTTTATATCACCATTCAATAGTTAAATCTTCAAAACTAAAAATTCAGTATTTAAATACACCATCTTAGAATCATTTGCTATGTAGAGAGCCATATGTATAAACAAAACTAACCTTATCACTGAAAAATGGTGCAATACCAATAGTCTTTATATTCTGCTCCCTTGGAGACGAAGTTGTGAATGCAACCATCTTTGGACAATCTTCTACTTTAAGTATTGTCAAACTTGGATATTCCACTGTATCATGCCCCAAATAAAAACTTCTTAAGTTTGAACATGACTCAAGAATTATGGATTCAAGGGAAGGGAACATGATTGTGTTTGTTGTTGCTTTCTCTGCTCCATCATTTATGATAATTTGCTCCATCATCACACAATTTCTTACCTTCATAACCTTCAAATGCAGAAGATCAAAAGCCATGGAAGTGGTGAATATGTATTTCAAGCTATTACATCCACAAACTTCCAAAAGTTTAAGATTTTTTAAATTTAAACTTTTTTGAAGATTATCCCTCCATATCTGTATTGCCTTAGAAGTGTCAGAGAGCACCAGACACTCTATTCCTTCATAGTTACCCTACAAAATCCAATTTATGACAGCAATTATTACCAAAAAAAAAAAGGAAAGAAAGAAAATTATAAGATTTAAGTAGAATTAAACCCCCCAAAATTCATAATAAATGGTTGAAAATAACATCCCCCAATAAAAAGCTAGCCTAAAAAGACATTTATTTCAAAGATAAAAAAACTCTGTAAATCAAGAAGTACCTTTTTTGTGTACAACTGTTGGACGGTAATATTAAGGTCACCATCCCAATGTACCTGCTCATCTTCACCTCTAATTACTTGTACTCTCTGCAAAATTGGTGTATTTAAATCTCCCTTGCAAAAGATCTCCAATTCAGGACAGTGGCTCACTATTACTTGGTCCAAAGATGGGAATCCAAATGTGTGATCGCCAGAACAAAAGCTTTTAAGGCTTGGTAAATGTCGAAGCTCCAAACATTCCAACCTATTGAAAATAATGTCAGTGGTTGCTTCATCATCTCTCTCATTTCCAACAATTTCTTTCATTGAAAGACAGTTTTTTATCCTCAAATTTTTTAGTTGGACCAAACTTTGGACTGCTAAGGATGTAACTAAGTTTATCATTGCTCCACACTCCCAAACATTCAAAGTCATGAGATTTTGAAAAGGTGTTGAGGACAGCCCTAAACTAATCATATTGTCACATTGGAAAACTTCAATTGTTTCTAGATTGGGAAGAATGTAGTCAAGTCGTGACCCTTGCATCCACATGTGTTTTAGACGATGAAGGCCAAACAGTCTTAAGTTTCTAAAGGGCGAAAGTGTTAGAGCATTTGTCCCCTTGCCAACACCTCTTTCGTAGGAGAATAAATCATTAAAGTTGCAACAACAAATCTCAAGCTTTTCCAAATTTTTGAATCTTTCAAGAAAGGTAGTTGGAAAAATAGCAGATATATCATGGTAGCAGAGCAAATAAAGAACTTTTATTTCATGGAAAAGGCCTTCGGGAACGTTGCTATCACATATTATTGCAATGTCATCACTGGTCAAAGACATTTCTTCTAATTTGGGAACCACCTACAAAACCAAAGAAAAATCAATTGCAAGTTTGTAATTTTTGAATGAAAATGGAAAATTTATCTACCAAAAGAAACATTACAGCATCTAAGCATTTGGCTAATTGGAACAGAGGTGCCTGTGTCTCCTTACTTAAAGTCTAAAAAGCTGGTGAATTTCCCTTATAAGACTTTTCCCAAATTTAGAGAATTTAGAGAAATGATAAAATTCAGATTTGAAGTAAATGATCAATAAAAAAAAATCAGGTACATGGTATTATTACAACTAGGTAGCATTTTAAGTGTGACCCGAAGTTCATACCTTTTCAACTAAGAAAAGTGGTGGTTGGATCGGGGAGTCCAATTGGTCGTCCTCACTCATATCTGGCAAATTAAGACAACCGATGTCAAGTATCTTCAGTTTGTTGCAGTGCATTGTTTTCAACTTTTTTAACATTGGCCACTTCGTTGTATGCATCCCGGGATAGAAACATTCGAGTTTTGGCAGGTTCCATAGCTGAAGGGAGGACACTTGATCAAAATTAAAATTAGTTACACTCGTTTCCCATCCTTTCGCTTTTGAAACAATCTCCCCCACTGCACAACCATCTACTGTAAGATCTTTAAGTTGTGGAAGAACTCTGGCAACTGAGGCTGGAAAAACATTCTTCAGACTCCAACACTTCCTAACCTCTACTTCTTTTAGATTTTGAAATGTTAAAATTCCTTGGGGGTCCTCGTTCCAAACATTCTTCAATTTTGGTAGATTAGAAACATACAATTCTCTTAGTTGAGTAGCCACAACATGTGTTTCATTCACATTCAACCTTTGGAGTTCAAATATATGTTCCATAGAACCACAACTAGATACTTGTAGAGTTTGCAGTTGTTGAAATGTAGTCAACAAATCAAATGGAAAAATGGTAAAGAGCTCATTACAATCGACAACTGCCATTTTTTCCAATTTGCAAAAGGAATTGACAGAGAGTTCATTGTGCCATATCATCTTCATATTTCTCAACCAAGAAATATTCAGTTGCTTCAAACTTGGGAACGCAACCTATGTGTAACGTCCAAGAGTAATTAGTTCCTAGAATAAAGATAAAAAATGAAAAACAAGTATGGTACAGAACTTTATAACAATAAATCTACCTTTACATCGAAGAGAGCTTGTGGAGAGAAATGCTGGTTATCCTCCACTGTAGATTTATGTATGAATCCCCGCAACCGAGGACATTGCTCTATCTCCAGAAGCTTCAAGGATGGGAATTCAACATTATAACTTTCTGAACAAAACCCAATAAGATGTTGAAGCTTCTTTATCTTTAGAGAGTTTAATTGAGGAAATGAAATCGTAGCCTTGTTTTCTTCTTCTATATCCTCTGCAAATATCACTTCTCTTAAGCATTTGCATCCAACTATCTCAAAGCATTCAAGATGCGTTAGACTTCTGGCCATAGAAGATGATAATAGCTGTTTCAAGTTGTCGCAACCCTCAATAGTCAAACTTGTTAGATTTTGAGTGCCATAGTCAGATACATTTGAAAACCGGTTGTGCCATATCCTTTCAACATTGATTGAGGACAACCGAAGGCTCTCCAAGCAAGGGAACGCCAACTACATTAATGTAATTACACTACATTATTAGAAAAAGGCTAGTCTTTTAGTATAACATGTAGCAATAAAAACCAAGGAATGATGTCTGTCAATGCAACGGCATGCAATACATTAAAAGAGAAATTATTTCCCCTCTCAAGAAAAAGTGATTTAGTGTTATCAATTTTTTATTCCAAGATCTAAATGACTATTTTGGTCAATTTTAGATTAAAATCAGATTAATAATAGTCACTAACTTACGTTATCAATTTCTATTTATTAAAAAAATCAAATTTGAAATAAAATGTTAAATTATCAAGTGAAAAATCATGTGCAAACTATGATTGAATTTTAATTCTGACATTTAGCCTCTGAACAATAGAGCATCCACATTCAGGCCATGGCCTCATTATCAATCACAAAGGCTTCCATTTGAGAGTATATATAGTTTTAGAGAAAATGGGACATGAGACCAACATGATATGCATTTGAATGAGCATTTAAACAAAAAGGATTTATATTTGATATATTATTAGAGTATATATTTCAATACACTATCAATGAATGAAAGGTTGAAACCTAATTAATTAATAAACCTAAATGCTAAAAAGTCCTTGAAAATAGACTACTTCAAATTTGGGATATTTGTTAAGACTTCACTTGATAGATACTTTTTGTTTTATTTTTTTGTTTTCTATACATCATTGAATTTTTTTTTTGCCTTTTTCTTTCTATTCACTTTTTTTAAAGCAAAAACATTTAGCAACTGACGTAAAAGAAAAACATACCTTTTCACTAAAAAGCGGTAACTGATTTTGACATGAAGAATTAGAGCCTCTTCCGTTTTCAAAGCAAAAGCTAATGAGCCGTGGTAGACCATGAAGTGTCAAGGATCGCAATTGAAGAAATTCATTTTTATAAGCTGCACCATCATCACTAATGATATATTCGATCTCCGAACCATTTTGGATATGGAGATTCTTCAACGGCTGAAAGCCTTCCTCATCCATCAACTCATGCAGTGCAATCTTGACACCTTTCATGTCATCTAAATATAGATCTTCAGTTTTCTTTAGAAACATTTTGAATCCATGATCTAACTCATCAACACTTGTATTTAACTTGAGTTTCAATGTCCTTGAGTGTTTACACTCACCAACCCAATCCCATTCTTTTCCTATGAAAATCTTGTATCTTTCCAACTTCTTGCAGAACAAGTCCGCTGGCATAATCTTGGCATCAGGAATGTGAACATCTAAAGTGGTCAGACGAGACAAAAGCTTCAATTCAGCAAGACTAGCATTGCTTTGTTGGTTGGCCTGCCTCTCTACTTCCCATTGAACAAAACTGTTGCCCATATACAATTCTTCCAATCTAGACAAACTCGATATGACCCCTGCTGGAATTATTTTCAGTCTGGTACAATCACTGAGATCTAACAACCTTAATTTGATCAATTCCCCAATTTCCTTAGGTAGCATTTCAATATACGAACCGAAAAGGCTAAGAATTTCTAAATTTTTTAGCTCACCAACCCCAGCAATATCTCCCAAATTACATAGGTCTAGGCACAATGTCCGAAGGTTTGTTAGGAGACTAATTGAGGAAGGTAAGGACTGAAATTGCATATCAGTCAAATCTAAAACTTTAAGATTTAGTGTTTCCTTAAAAAAGTTGATTGGCAATTCCACGGAATGATCCTCGTTATACAGAAGAAAAAGATCAAGTTTCGGACACTTCAACTCTTTGGGAAAATAGCTAATATTAGCATATCTCAAACTAATCATGGTACATTTTTCCATTGTCTCTCCATTAGGCCAATCCTCCAGATCATCTTCGTCTTTTAGTGCAAACACGTTGTAGTCCCTATAAGCGATTGCTAAGGCCACATCACAAATAAGATCATGCATATCAACACGCACATTTGTGTAACTATCACGCAACAAACAAGAGGATTTGAGTTCACTCACCACTGTCAACAATCTATCTCTTGTTTCTTCCACTCCGTTGACACCATGAAATAAACCCAAACCAATTGTATATCTCAGCAAGTCTCTAATGAAAGCGTTGTGACCTAGCAGCGCGCAAAGCACGAATGTCTGTTTGAGTTCTTCTCTTTCCAAATGGTGGTAACTCAACTCTATGGCTGAATAAACATGTGCTGGTATTCCTTTGAAGTTTGTTGGGGAAGGCCTTTGTAGTTTTCTCAAAGCATCATTCCACGCAAATAAGCCTTTGTTTCTTAAAGCCCTTGCAACTGTTGCAATGGCGACAGGCAGTCCTGCACATTTTTTGGCTACTTCAATTGCTGTCGATCGCAACTCAGGACTTTCAGCATCGTCTCCAGCCATCTTCTTAAACAGGTCCCAAGCTTCTTTATCTTCCAAAACAGATATTGCAAAATTTTTGCGAGCATCCATCTCATTCCTTAGAACATTTAGATCTCTTGAAGTGAGCAATATGTTGCATCCCTTATTTTCATCTCCAAATGGAATGCCCACATCATTCAAATCTAGTTTCTTCCAAATATCATCTAAAATAACAAGAACCTTCTTCTCTTTCTTCAATCTTTCGCGCAATCGGGCTGCTCTAACCACCACATCCTTTCCTTCTAATTTTAAACCCAATGAAGCTGCAAGTTGATCTTGAACTTTTTGAAGGTCAGGAGTACTCTGATTCACAAATGCCATAGTCACCGAATCAAATAACTTGTCTTCTTTGGCCTGTCTATAAACTTCTTTGACTAGCGTGGTTTTGCCCACACCAGCCATCCCATACACCCCTATCAAGTTGGTAGTACCATCTTTCAATGCCTCCATGATGTCTTTAAATACCTTCGCTCTTGATTCAAAGGCCTCAAAATCTTTAGGAGTTGCATCCACTATGTCTGGAGGAGGAGCAGGGCATGAAACACTGTTGAATTCACCTTGTTGAAGGTGTTCATTAAAAGCTGCGACAACTTCTTCAGCTTTCCTGCTAAGTTGGTAGCGAGACTTGATGTTGGGGCACAAGCCAATGAAGCACTTGCTCTTTGCTTTGTCTTGAAGATCCTTCACACTTTTCGCCTCTTCGAATACCTTGTCCACATTACTGCACCAAAGCTCGACGTCCGGTTTTATCTTCTCCACGTTCCTTTCTGCAGCTTCGATATCTTTCTGCACACTTTCTCTTTTCGCCAACAGCATCTTCATTTTCTCCTCAAACTTCTCAACATTCTTCTTATAGATGATCACATACCTTATATGACGTCTGATTTCTTGGAAGATGCCTTTCGCAGCATCCGAAGAAAGATTGGCTGCAGCTCCAGTAGCGATGGCTTCCATTTTTTTGGTTTTTTTCTTTGTGTCAAGCAGACCAGCAAAGCAAATAAAAGAACAAAACAAAGACAACAGGAGAGGAATCGACAACAAAGATAATTGACAGCAAGCAATATATGTAATCAGTTATCGGTAAAGACAAGAAATGGTTTGGACAGACTTGTCTTCCGATCCAGCAGCTATGAATGAGGGAACCAGAGATAAACAAAGAGGAAAACAGAACAAGGGGACTACAACTAGGTTAGAAAAAGGCAAAAGCAGCAATGTGGGAAGTAGGGGAAAGGGTTTTTCGAATGAATGAGCAACTGAGTTTGAGCAGAAAGTTAAGAAAGTAAATTGTTTTAGAGAAAGATCAGTTCAGGAGAAAGGTTGAAGCTTTGGGTATAGAGAAGACAAGAAATGGCTTGGACAGACTCGTCTTCATGTCCAGTAGCTATGAATGAGGAAACCAGAGAAAAACAAAGGGGAAAAACAAAACAAGGGGACTAAAACCAGCTTAGAAAAATGCAAAAGCAGCAAGGTGGGAAGCAGGGGAAAAGGTTTTTGGAATGAGTGAGCAAATGAGTTTGAGCAGAAAGTTAAGAATGGAAATTGTTTAGATGAAGATCAGTTCAAGAGAAAGGTTAAAGACTTGGGCATGGAGAAGAAAGCGCAAGGACTTTTTATAAAAGCCAATGGCAAAGATTAATTGAATCGGTCATCACATTGCCCAAAGTCTTTCTTTATAACTTTTTAGCCTTTCGTTTAACTTCAACTCAGCAATTTGTCTTTACATTCACAATTTCACGTGTTCTTGACCATCATCTCAACGTTGAAATAGCAATTATCAAGAAAGACTGGCTCAGTTGCTAGCTTCACATAAAGCGCAAGGATTTTTTATTTAAGCCGATGGCAAGGAAATTGAATCAGTCATCACATTGCGCGAAGTCCTTTCTTTTAAATATTTATAGTATTTTCATTTCTATTAAAAGAAGAAATTGAGAAACTATTTCACACTGCAATTTGCTTAGAATTCCGAATATTGAAAATTATGAAGAAAGACCGACTTTTGAAAATACAGCTTCCGAACTGTTTCGTGCATCGCAATATTGTTGGAGAAGGAGGTAGGTTTTTTTAAAATTAATTCACGACACATAAGAAATAATAAATTTTAGGTAATTGTAAAATAAATTACTCTGCATTTTTATTAAAATCAATTAATCTTTTTATAGGCTTACTAATAGAGAAAAAAAAACTCAAACAATTAACAGATAATGAAGAAGTGGGGAAAGTGACAGAATATTAAAATTCACTCAACCACGTTTAATAACTACTACCCACTAATCCTAAAAGTCATCATCTACTACCAACTATATCCTAAAACCCAAGACTTTGAGCCCAGACGTGAACTCAATTTTGAATCATTTTTCAACACTCCTTCTTGATTCAAAATCACATACTCAAAGATGTAATCTAAAGTAGAAAAATTTCTCTCTTGAAAATACTTTTATGAAAAGATTTGTCAACTGTTCGTCCGTTCCACAATGCTCTATTTTGGTTACACCATCTGCAACTATGTCACGAATAAAATGAAAGTGAATGTCGATGTGCTTTTTTCTTCCATGAAATGCTGGATTCTTTGTCATAGCAATTGTTGACTTGTTGTCACAAAACGTTTAGTTACTCTGTCTTGAACTTGACAAAGATCTACGAGAAGTCTTCTAATCCAAATTGCTTGACAAGTTGCTGAAGTTGCTGCTACATACTCAGCTTCTAAAGATGATAAAGCTATTGTAGCTTGTTTCTTTGAACTCCATGTGATGGCACTTGATCCGAGAGTGAAAACACTTGCCAAAGTACTCTTTCTATCATCCAATAAACTTGCCCAATCACTATCTGTGAATCCATATAACCTAAAGTTTGTAATTTGTCAATACCAAATCTCAAAATCACTAGTTTCAACAATATAACGTAAAACTCTTTTTGCCGCTCCAAGATGATGTTTTGTGGGACTTTGCATAAACTTGGATATTATACCAATAGAAAATGCAATACTAGGTATAGGTCAAATAAATCAAACCTCCTACTAAGCTTTTAAAAGTCTTTGGATCAGTCTTTTCAGAACCATCTTCAAGTTGTAACTTCTTATTTATGTTCATAGGTATGGCAGTTGATTACAATTAAGCAAATTAAATCTTTTAAGTAAATCCATTGTATACTTTCTTTGTGAAATGAAAATTTCATCCTCGCATTGCTTCACCTTAAGCCCCAAAAAATAATGCAATAGATCCATGTCTGACATTACAAATTCCTTCATCATGTTAGCTTTAAATTCAGCAACAAGAAAATCACATGAGCCCATTTAAATAATATCATCAACATAAAGGCAAACAATTATAGGATCATCTTTTCCTTTCTTCTTCACATAAAAAGTAGGCTCATTTTCACTATTTGTAAAGCCATTGTGACAAAAATAGCTATCAATCTTACTATACCATGCCTGTAGTGCTGCTTCAGCCTGTAAAGTGTCTTCTTTAGCTTGTACACCTTTATCTTTTTGCCTTTGATCACAAACCCTTAAGGTTGACTGACATACACCTCTTCTTTTAAGTCTCTATTTAAAAAAGCAGACTTAACATCAAATTAATAAACAGGCCAATGAAATTGTGCAGCCAAGGCTAAAATAATCGTCACCGTTTCAAATCGAGTAACCGAAGAAAAGTTTCTTTGAAATTAATACCTTGTTGCTACGAGTATCCTTTTGCCACCAAACGGGCTTTGTGCTTTTGTATGGTTACATCAGTACAGTATTTAGTTTTGAACACCCATTTGAGGCCAATTGCATTCTTGTCTTTTGGTAAATCTACCATTTCCCATGTTTCATTCTTTTGGATTTCCATCATCTTTTATTGCATTACATTCTGCCATTCTTTTTAGTTTACTGCTTCTTCAAAAGTTGTTGGATCTGAAACAAGGAAAGCAAATTGACAAGTTTCATGAATCTCCTTCAAGGATCTAAACTTTCTTGGAGGTGTTTCATCTGATAATTCTTTTTAAGAAGATGAACTGCTGTACCGTGAAGTTAGAGGTGAAGAGTGAGATAAGAAAGCTGGTGAATAAGAATTACCTGGAGAGTTTGTGGGAGTTGATTCGACATCTTCATTTGCTGCATTCTCACTTGAATTCTCACTTTCACTTGGAATCATAACTTGAGTAGTTTCATTTTTTTCATTCCACTCCCAACTTGTATCTTCATTAAAGATCACATTTCTGCTAATATTCACCTTGCCACTAAGAGGATTATATAAATGATATGCTTTGGATTGAGAGCAATATCCCACAAAAATGTATTTTTTAGATTTTTTTCTCAAGCTTGTGATGAGCATGAGAATTAACCAAAGCATAAGCAACACAACCAAAAATCCTCAAGTGGCTTACCGTCGGTCTTGTACCTCTCCAAGCTTTATAAGGTGTTTGATTGATGACTGATTTTGTAAGAGAAAGATTTAGCAAGTAAATAGCAGTTGCCACAGCTTTAGCCCAAAAATGATTTGGTAGTCCTCTTGCCTACAACAAGTTTGTAGCCATTTTCACAACAGTACGATTCTTTCTTTTAGCTACACTATTTTGCTCTGGAGTATAAGGTGCAATCAATTCTCTGTGAATGCCATTTTCTTCACAAAAAAGGTTAAACTTGTTAAATAAAAATTCTCTTCCTCGATTAGTGTGAAGAGTTTTTATGAAAGCTCCACTTTGCTTTTTCATAAAAGTCTTGAATTTTTTAAAACTCTCAAAAGTCTCTGACTTATTGGATAGAAAATAAACCTAACTCATTTTACTACAATCATCAGTAAAGAGCAAAAAATACCTACTCCCACTAAGTGATGTAGTTCTCAAATGCCCACATAAATAGGCATGTATCAATTCAAGGCATTTAGAGGCTCTCCATGACTGTCCACTTGGAAATGACTCTCTTGCTTATCTCTCATAAATACATCCTTCACATAAATTAAAAGATCCAATTTTAGGTAATCCAAGAACCATACCTTTTTTACTTAGTAACTGCAAGCCTTTGATATTGAGATGTCCATATCGTAGATGCCATAATTTTGATTCATCTTTGCTGCTAACAATAAGAGCTTTTTTTTTTATGTTAGAAAATTTTAAGTGGAAACATTCTGTTTTCTATCATATGCATATTCACCATTGGTTATCCAAATTATCTTTAATCACACACTTCATTTTCAAACACAATTACATATCCACTAGCCATTAGTTGTCCAATACTCAATAAACTATGCGTCAAATTAGGAACAAAGAAGACATCAGAAAGTAATTTTATTTTATCATTGCTTGCTTCTACTGTAATGGTACTTTTTTCTTCAACTTGCATCTGTTTGTTATCCCCAAGTCTGACTTGCAACTTTTATGACTCATCAAGATCCTTAAACAGTGATCTATTGGGGGTCATATGGTTCGAGCACCCATTATCCACAAACTAAACATCATTTGGAACTTCATTAACAGGTAAATGAGTTATGAATAACTTACTTTCTTTGCTTTTTTCCTTTATATAGCTCACTTGGTTTAACAATTTGCTTTTACATGCCCAAATTTCTTATAATTGTAACACTGGATAGCACTCCTATTCCCTTTTGCTCACCATTAGATTGCCTCTCTTATCCATTAGAATGGCCTTTCTTTACCTCTACCACATCCTTTTTCACGAAAGCCTCATCTTTCACACCTTTTGCCAATGGACACTCCCTTTCTAGTTTCCTCCCATTTCACTTGAAATACCTTTTCATTAGTCTTCTCTTATGATCTATTCAGCCTTGCTTCATGAGCTTGCAAAGAACCCATTAGTTCATCAAAAAAAAAAAAAAAACAAATCCTTAGACTTTTCTATTACAGTAACTATATGATCAAACTTTAGAGTTAGGCTTTATAAAACTTTAAAAATAATATCTCGTCAGTAATCTTATCATCATAAGATCTCAATTAAGTAACAATAAAAATTACTCTAGAAAGAAAATCTTGCACCGTTTTCTTACTCATCATCATCAAAGTTTCAAACTCATACCGAAGAGTTTGGAGTTTCACAGGAACAACTTTTGAAAAGCCTTGAAACTCTTTCTGCAAGGTTTCTTAAGCTTCTTTTGAAGTGTTGGCTACTATAATCTTGGAGAAAAGTATCTCATGAACTGCTTGCTGAATGATAAGTAGGGCTTTAGAATCTTTTTTCTTGTTATCTTTTGGCCCTCATTCATCGTTATCATTATCGTCGTATCCGGTCTTTATAAAATCCCAAAGATCTTAAGATTTGAAGAGTGTCTTCATCTTAATGCTCTAAAAGTCATAACATTTTTCATCGAACACAGGAATGAGAGGTTGGGCTACGTTTGAACTACTATTTATTACCATCTTTGACAATTCAATGGATACAAAAAATGGGTAAGGATCTTAAGGTTATGATACTAAAGATTTGTTAAAGAAAGAGGTAGGCTTTCCTAAAATTAATTCACGACACACAAGAAATAACAAATTCTGGGTAATTGTAAAATAAATTACTCTGTATTTCTTTTAAACTCAATCAGTCTTTTTATAGGCTTACTAATAGAGAAAAAAACTCAAACAGTTAACAGATAATGGGAAAGTGAAAAAAGTGGAAAAAGTGACTGAATATTAGGAATCACTCAAACACGTTTAATAACTACTACCCACTAATCCTAAAATCCATCGTCTACTACCAATTATATCCTAAAACCCAAGACTTTGAGCCCAGACGTAAACTCAATTTTGAATCATTTTTCAACAAATATAATAAGAGAAGTTTTTAATTATATGAGTAATGTAATTCACAATGGAAATAGTACTAAAGAAAGCTTGGTTAGCATTTTTTGAACAAATACTTAATCATGCTTTGATTTTTTTTAATTTTTTAAAATCAACTTATGTAGCTTATATTCATGTGATTTTTTTTATTGTTAGTTGGTAATTATAAACTCCAAAAATAAAAAAATACAGGTTTTTTGGCCAAAAAAATTACAAGCCAAA